CCAAAAATCTAGGCATTAATCGGGGAAGCTAGGAACATTTTTTATTAATATAATTATGCTAATTAAAAGGCGAATTACTCCTATCATTTTGTGATTATTGTCTTTTTTATATACAATATTCGTGGAGATCTGATTATGCTCTTATTATTGTTGTTTGTCTGTCATATTTTATCTCACTCATTAGCCCCCCTTCATGTTCTTGTATAATGTTCTTTATAAATATCCTTCGCAAAAAAAAAAAAAAAAAAAAAAAAAAAATAGTGTATCTTGGGAATCTATATATTTAGTTAGAATACGAGTATAAACAATCAATATATTGTAGGTTTTACCAATCATGTACGTGCTAGTGACGACAAACAGCTGATCATTATATCTGGCAAACGAACAATTATTATTCATTTTTCAATTATTTATTTTTTATTATTATTATTATTATTATTGTTATTATTATCATTATTATATTATTATTATTTTATTTCATTATTATTTTTATTTATTTTCACTTTTTTTTTTATTTTATTATTTATTATTATTATTATTATTTGCAGTTATTTGATGATCAATCGTTCTCCGTAATTAAAATTTTCATTCTGATCCTTAATGCATATATCCCTCTCTCTTCCCTCTGAAGGAACCTGGACCCCAGACCCCAGCCAACTCCTCGGCGAGTACGAGGAGCCTCCCCCACCTCGTGACACCAACGCATACTTTATGACTGACAACAACACTGTGGTCACCGTCCAGGTTGGCATGACTGCCGATCTCCGCTGCCAGGTGTTCGACGTGGCCGAACACGAAACGGTAAGTGGAAAATAACGGCTCGTGATTCATCTTTACGAGTGTAGATGTGTAGATATGATTTTTTTATAGGTTGTTCCTCCCTATTTTTGTGGATATGTTTTGGTGATAGGAATTTTTTTTTTTTTTTTTTTTTTTTTTTTGTCTAATGAATTTTAAGGTATGGGTTATTCAAAGCGTATAGCTATTATACATTTGACAAATCTGTTTTTTTTTTTGTTTTTTTTATAGGTTGTTCCTCCCTATTTTTGTGGATATGTTTTGGTGATAGGAAAATCTGTTTTTTTTTTTTTTTTTTTTTTTTTTTTTGTCTAATGAATTTTAAGGTATGGGTTATTCAAAGCGTATAGCTATTTATACATTTGACAAATCTGTTTTTTTTTTTATAGGTTGTTCCTCCCTATTTTTGTGGATATGTTTTTGGTGATAGGAAAATCTGTTTTTTTTTTTTTTTTTTTTTTTTTTGTCTAATGAATTTTAAGGTATGGGTTATTCAAAGCGTATAGCTATTATACATTTGACAAATCTGTTTTTTTTTTTTTTATAGGTTGTTCCTCCCTATTTTTGTGGATATGTTTTGGTGATAGGAGGAGGAGTGAGACAAATGGATATCCCCATAACGAGGCAGATTTTTTTTCCACGTCTTTTATTCCTCTTGGGCTGTGGATATTGATTGGATCCGCTCTGTTTATTGGCGTGTAAATCCATCCGAGTGTCTCCGTCAGCAGTTTGGGCGACTGCTTCAGGGGATCAAGTGAACTGAAATTGTTGGCTGCTGGGAAACTGAAGCCAGGCGACATCCTCAATGTATAGGGTTACATTTTTACTTTTTAATTATTTTTAAGGTACTGGCTATTCAAAGCGTATACCTTTTTTTTGACTTTTTTTTGTCTAATGAATTTTAAGGTATGGCTTATTCAAAGCGTATACCTATCATACATTTGACAAATCTGTTTTTTTTTGTTTGTTTGTTTTTGATTTGTTTGTCTAATGATTTTTAAGGGACGGGGTATTCAAAGCGTATAGCTATCATACATTTAACTTTTTTTTTCTTTTTTTTTTTTGTTTGTTTGTCTAATGAATTTAAGGTAGGGGGTATTCAAAGCTTCATACATTTGACAATTTGTTTTTTTTTTTTTTTTCTATGAATTTTATTTTTTTATTTATTACAATTATTAATTATTATTATTTTTTTTTTTGTCTAATGAATTTAAAGGTATTGGGTATTCAAGCGTATACTTATCCTACATTTTGACAAAGTATTTTTTTTTGTTTGTTTGTTTTATATTTGTTTGTCTAAATGAATTTTTGGGGTTTTCCAAAGCGTATATTCATACATTGACATATGTTTTTTTTTTTTTTTTTTTTATTTGTCTAATGAATTTTAAGGTATGGGGTATTCAGAGAGTATTCGTATCATACATTTGACAAATCTTTTTTAGTTTGTTTAATGAATTTTAAGGTATGGATTATCCAAAAAGCGTATATATAAATTTAACAGATCTGTTTTTTTTTTTCTTAACATTTTTGTTTGTTTTGTCTAACCAATTTAAGGTATTGGATATTCAAATCATATACTTATCATATATTTGAAAATCTGTTTTTTTTTTTTTTTTTAATCTAATGAATTTTAAGGTATGGGGTATTCAAAAGCTATATCATTTGCTTTTCTTTTCTTCTTTTTTTTATTTGTTTGTCAAAGGAATTTTAAGGTATAGGGTATTCAGAGAGTATACGTATCATACATTTGACAAATCTCTTTTTTAGTTTATTTGTCTAATGAATTTTAAGGTATGGGTTATCCAAAGCGTATATCATACATTTAACAATCTGTTTTTTTTTTTTCCTTTTTTGGTTTGTTTGTCTAACCAATTTAAGGTATTGGATATTCAAATCATATACTTAATCATTATTTGACAAATCTTTTTTTTTTTTTTTTTTTTTTTTTTTTGTCTAATTGAATGGCCCGATGTCCTTCGTTCTTCGTCTCTTTTGGTCTTTTTTGTGTTCTGGTTTGCTTTGCGTTGTGTGTCTGTCTGTTTTGTGTCTGTTTGTGTTTTGTCTTTGTTTGTCTGGCTCTTGTCTGTCTATCTCTTCTCTCGCTTCATTCCTCTCTCTGTCTGTCTATCTGGCCTTCTCTCTCTCTCTCTCTCCTCTCTTCTCTCTCTCTCTCTTCTCTCCTCTCTCTCTCTCTCTCTCTCTCTCTCTCTCTCTCTCTCTCTCTCTCCCTCCTCTCTCCTCCCTCTCTCCCTCCCTCCCTCCCTCCCTCCTCCCTCCCTACTCTCCCTCCCTCTCTCCCTCTCTCTCTCTCTCTCTCTCCCTTGTTCGCTCGCACTTATTCCGTCTTCAACCATCATTTGGCACTAGTTCTCCCGTATCAGATTTTATGTATGGTGTTTTTACTGGTTAATGTTTCGTACCTTATTGCGTACTATCCACACTTTATATCCCCATCCTACGAATGCATAAATATATATTTCAATACGCTGCACATAGTACCCTGCTTCGCTTTTATACGGTATTCTACGCATATACTGCTGAAATACATATATTCATACGCATACTCACAGCTAAACGTATTCATAAATACAAACTCACACACATACATACAAGCACTCCCCAACAGACAAAAAACACACATACACTCACAAAAACTCCTCCTCCTTCCCACTTCATTGCTTTTCTTCCTCAAAAAAAAAAAAATAAAATAATAATAATAATAATAATAAAATAAATAAAAAAAAAATAAAAAAAAATAAAAAAAAAATAAAAACTACCCCCATACAAGTACTCCCCAACAACAAACAAACACACATACACTCATAAGAACTCTCCTCTTCCTTCCTACCCCACTTCTTTTCTTCCCCAAAAAGCATCTTCCCCCCCCCCCCCCCCTCCCCCCGCCTTCCCTCTCTCCCCCACCCCTACACTCTTCTTGAGGACACTTAATGCACAAAGTACGACACAACTTCTTTTCATAAGCGCCCTAGCCTCGCCCGCCCACTCCCACAACTGTCCCTTTTTGTCCAAAATGCCACGCTTCATCGGGCATTAGGCCTACCTTTCTCTAGGCCTTCGGTGTGGACACTCCCACTTGATCACAGATGGCACAGGAAGGAAAAAATGATGTTGGTTTGTGAGGAGTTGATGGAAAATTAATATTGTGTTTGGTGCAGATACATCCAATTTGTAGTAAAAGATTAAAGAGGTCAATTCAATTTGCTGTAAGCTTTTGAAAACTTCATTTTGAAGTTTGCTTTCTATTCTTTTTATGCGTTTCATGTTTTTTTGTATATCTCTTTTTCTTTCTTTTATTTTTTCCCCAGCGATACATTCCTGAAAATATGTATTTACTCCTTTTTTTAAAATTCTCTTTGTCTCACACCACCTGTCCCACGCAAGCACACAAGCAAATAAAACAAACAAAAAATATCCAATCAAAACAACGAAAACAACACGTAAACACACGAACAAACACAACCACCCGACTAGCGTTTCCCGGGCCTCCGAGACCGTCGCTCTAAGCCAAATTGGAGCCGTCGTGGCGTCTCCAATCTCCGTCCCTCTAATACATCGACTGGAGGAGCGCCTTCAGACTCCATTCCTTAACTCGGGAGGAGCCGTTGATAAGTATCACTTGACTCTGATTTCGAGGAGGAGCTAGCTCGAGTGGGAAGCGCTTTGGTATTCTAAAAGCCATCGTATAATCACTTTCTCGCTCGTTATTGCCTCCATTCTCCCTCCTCCAGTCCTCTTCAACAGCCCCTCCTCCACTCCCTTGCCTATTATGCTCTTCTCCTGTTGTCGATTACCGTTCTGTTTCCTTTCTCCGTTTTCCTGTTCTAATCCCCCACCCCCTTCCTCTTCACTCTCTTCTTCTATTCTTAATCCCTTTTTCACATTGTCTCCCTTCCCCCTATTTTCATCTCTTTCCCCTCTTACCGTTCCGTTCCATCCCCTTCTTACTGTTTATTTTCCCTCTTGCTGGCTTCATTTTCACTCTGTATGTCTCCCTCTTTCTATCTTTTCCCTTCTCTCTGTCTTTTATCACGGTCGTCACCTATTATCCTTCTTTTTAATCCCTCTTCTCACGCTATATCTCCCCCCATCTTTATTTTCCCATTCCTCTCCTTCCCCATTCTGGTCGTCTCCTCACCTTTATCCACCCTCTCCTAACCCTTTCCTCACTTTGTATCTCTCCC